AAAAAAAAAAAGAAACAATTTAAAAAAAAAATTTAGAACTTGGACACTGAGTCAAGTTACTTATAGGGAACTCAGATAAAATGAGAAGCAGAATTACAAATTATGTGAAAACAAGAAGAGATCATAGAGAGAAAAAAGACTGTAGGACCCACATTAAAGATGGAACAGACGGTATTCAGTCTGTGACTTTCTCGTTCCAGGTCCAACTCGCCATGTATGTTGTGAAACTCCCTATTGTTGCCTTTCAGCCAACCTATTTGTACTTTAGCTAGTTTCAGTAAATTTAATTTCTTTTTTTTTTAAAGATTTTATTTATTTATTTGAGAGAGAGAATGAGATAGAGAGAGAGAGCATGAGAGGGGGGAGGGTCAGAGGGCGAAGCAGGCTCCCCGCTGAGCAAGCAGGGAGCCCAATGCGGGACTCGATCCCGGGACTCCAGGATCATGACCCGAGCTGAAGGCAGTGGCTTAACCAACTGAGCCACCCAGGCGCCCAGTAAATTTAATTTCTGAGTAGGATAAAGTCTTTGGTCTTAACTCTAACCCCATTATATATTTTTTTCTATGGATAAACCAAATTTGTCAAGTATGGCTTGCCCTGTCTTAAAATATTGCCTAATAATCTCCCTTTAAGTATAGATTGTTAAAATAAAACTTATATCTTAATTAATTATACTTAGATTATACCATATAAACATCTATCTAGGAATGCTCAAGACATCAAACAAACACGAAAAAAACGGATACTGGCAATTTGTATGTTAGTGAGATTATTAAGCTTGTTCCCATGAACAATTTTAAGTTAACTATTGTGTACTGGCATTTCCAGTTTAGACTGAACTGCTGCCTTTTTAAGTAAGAGGAGAAAAGAAATAACACGAAGGAAATTATACTGCCATTCTTCCACAGTCCTCAGTAAACCCAATTTAATAAAATTGCCTCTGAGCCTTGGAGTTGAGAGAGAGAAGGCAATTAGAAGTAAAGCTGAACACAGAAACACAACAT